AGATGCTAATCCAGCCGGCAGGGCCACCTGTGCTACAGGGACAAGCTGTTTAAGCCGGTGGCGCGAGGCCGCGCAGCCCCTGGGTAATGCAGTGCCACGGCCAGCCGGCCCGTGCAATGCCCGGCCCAGCAGCACTCGCTTTCCCAGGGGCCCCGGCCCTGCTGGGATTAGGGAGGCTGCAGGGAGAGGAACAGCATAAATCCAGATTAGGGTTAAGCAGCTGCTGCACAGTGCGGTGATGGGAGCGGGGCAGGAGCCGGCCGGGTCACCCGACCGCGCGGTGTGGGGGGCTCCTGGCGAGGTGCCCTAGGACGTGACCAGCAGAGTATGTTCCACCTCTTCTCCCACTGCTGGTCCTGGCTGCAGGCGGTGCAGGAGCCGCTCAGGTACTCTCGGGGCGAGGGACGGCAACCAGGCACGGAGCAGCTCTGTCCCCAGGAGGAGCTTCAGCCCCTGACCATCCTGTGCCCGGCCTTTCAGAACCTGCCACCAAGGGGGCAAAAAGAGCCCATCCTCTGCCAGGGCAGAAATTTGGCTTCTCAGATGGGACCCTGGGGGAATTAGCTGTGTAGGGGGAGTGCTGCAGCCCAGCTGCTGAGGGGTGGCCCTGGAGCAGTGGCGGGTCCCTCCGTGGCCGTGCTGGGGGCTTGCGCATTGGCAGCATTTGAAGCATTCTCCTGCTGGGAAAGTCCCAGCACCTTCTCCTCTCCCGCTAGCTCGCCGGGAGAGCTGTGGGGAAACACCTGGAGTGTTGGCATGTGTTACAAGAGCAGGTTTGATTTTCTCCTGAAAGAGTGCTCTGCAGGAAAGTGTTGGACAAAGACAGGGCAGGGACGTGGGGTGTGGAAGGCCGATAAGGGAGTTTGCAGCAGCCCAGCTGTAACACGGCAGTGAGAGCGTGCCACACACCCAGGCCTGTGCAGGTGTCTCGGGGGAAAAGATGCTGAGACCAAACCACCTAGCACTGCTGACTTGTAAAGCAGAAGGAAAATGATACATGCCTCAGGTGAGGCATGTTGCTGGAGACCAAATATGACGGTTGAGCAGCAGGAAATCCTCTTGGGTCCAGGCAGCAACTTGGAAAACTTCCTTGTGACTCACTCCGTGTGTAGCCCTAACTCGCAAACATGAGTGACCTTACGAGCACCCATTAAGTGAGCCGCGTATGAAGAGCCTGCTTGGCCTGTGCAGGTCTCTAAGCCCTGTGTGACCCGGGGAGCAATGAGTGCCCGGGGAAACGCTACGACGGGTCCGTTAGCATTCTCGGGATGCAGGCTCACCGGGTCCTTCTCCTTCCCCAGGAAGGTGACCCTGCTAGTTGTGGGCTTGGACAATGCAGGCAAAACCACCCTGGTCACGGAGCTCCAGAGAGGTGAGGAGCAGCTGCGGCTGGAGGTCTGGCTCCCCTGCAGGCCTGGGCAGGGTCGAAGCTCTGTAAGGAGCCCCGTTAGGTTGGGGCCGGGCCGTGGCCGTGTGGAGGGTGCTGTGCCTGGCTCTCCACCACGTCTCCTCCTGCAGCGCTGGCCGGCGAGGCGCTGCCCATGGCAAAGCCCGGCCAGACCCACCTCCGCGTGGACCGCTTTGAGGTGACGCTGCTGGACCTGCCCGGGACACAGCGGGCCCGTGGCGCCTGGCGCAGCCACTATGGCGCTGCCCACGGGCTGCTCTTCGTGCTTGACGCCAGCGCCCGTGCACGCATGGAGGAGGCCAGGAAGGCCTTGGCTCGCGTCCTCAGCCATCCCAAGGTGTCCGGGAAGCCGCTCTTGCTGTAAGGCTGCGCTCTGTGGGGCGAGGGCTGCTCTTGGGGATCGCTGGGGACAGCTCTGACCGCTCGTCACACCGGGCACCCCCCAGGCTGGCCAACAAGCAGGACGAGGCGGACGCGCTGCTGCCCTGCGAGCTCATCGAGTGCCTCTCCCTGGAGCAGCTCGTGAACGCCAGCAAGTCCC